GATCCATTCTTTGCAAAGAGCACGGGGAAAGAGAAAAGCTTTTCGCCGCCTGTCAAAAGGAGCCAGAGCTTCGGAGCAGCTCAGTCTTCTTTACCCGAGTTACTCGGAGGGTACTCAGGCTGAGTTCAGCCCGACTTGTTCCGCACAAGCGAGCAAGAGATACAGCAGCGGCGTCTCGCCTTCCAACTGGTGTAGTGCCTTACTGGAGAACAAGGGCTGCGGTGCGCTGGAAACTTTCGGAGTAACCGCAAAGCTGCACATAATTTCCATTATTTCCGGCCCAGGTGCATTTGGACGCTGGCTGTTTCTGCATCGCAGCAGCCTACCCCGTTCTCTTCTTCAATATTCCCCTCCATTTCTGTCCCGTTTCTCCAACTCTATAAAACACCAGCACCATCGTCCCCTCCCCAGTTCCTCAGGTTTGGGAGGGGGGGCTGTAATTTTGAACAGAATTCGTATCCGGAGAAACCATCTCGCACGGGAGTGATGTCTTCCTTCCCCGAAGGGAGAAGGCCTTGCTCCGCTGCCCGGGGCTTCGGGCGTGCAGGCAGGCGGAGGTCATGCGCTTATAAACCACCTTGCAGGGGTTATCTCACCGAAAAAGTGCCTTTGGGCAACGAAAGCGACCGCTTAGGAGCTGCTGACTCCGGCTCCCGCCTGCGACGCCTGAGCCCGGGGATCTGAGATGCGCCGTGCAGAGAAGCCAAGGTTGGGCCCGCGCTTGCCCGCTCCGGTCTCTTCCCCGTAGAGCGTGAGGAGGGAGGCGACGCCTTTTCCGCCCCGAACCAAGTGGGGCAATTCGGGCAGAAAAGAACCTGGTCCCGCCAGCGCAGCTTGGAAGAGCCCGGTTCCTCGTGGAGGGGAATTCACCCGAACCGAAGCCCCGCTTTCGGTTGCAGCCAAGGCTGCGCACGAGCTCCTCGCTTTAGCCAGACCGCCGCGGACCCGGAGCGCTCCGAGCGCGTTCTTAACCTCGCCGGCCGCGTCCTCGGCTTTCCCGAAGGGCAGCGAGGTTGAAAGACTTGGCCCAGACGGGCTGGGGGAGTTGCTGGCAACCCGAAGTCTAATAAGGTAAGGCGAGGCGAGGCAGGGGGCTTGAAGCCGGCAGGAGAAGGAAGTTTGGATCCTGTAATCCTCTGCTCAGTGCTTTCCAGGTTGGACTGCGCCCAGATTTACTGCCGGGCAAGAGGGTGCTGGACTGGGGCCGTACTTGGGCTATAAGCAGGGTTCACACAACACACTCATCTGGATAGGTTTAACTAGTTTTCAGGGTTTATACAGCATACTGAATCATAAACTAAAGGCCCCTGGCTGATTTGCCAGGATGAGGCCCACAATTACATTTTAGCCTAACCAGCTGTGTGAATCCAACCATGGGCAAGTAAGGGAACCAACATCCCTTTCCAGGAGGTGTAGTTGAGTGCCATCACCCACTACGAATTCCCTCTATGCTGCAGGACTGCAGGACTCATGACCTCCAGTCTCTATCTTGGCTGAAGACATTCCATGCCACAGAATGACTGCTCCACATTTGACCCAATGCTCTTGAGCCACCTTTCGCTGACTGCCTGGGAATGGTGGGAGCTATAGCCCAACATGTCTGGAGAATCACAGGGTGATCCCCGTGGCCCTTGAAGGTACTGATGCTGCTGAGCCTTCAGTGCCTATGGAAATTACTGGCCAGATGTAAATGTCAAGGGATGGGGAAACTTTGTATGAGGTACAAGGAAACCAAGGTCTTCAGACTCAGTGTCAAAACCAAAACTTGACAGGACTGGAACAGAGCATCTTTGCCCAGAGAGATATTGCTGGTTGCAGAAATGTTCCTTTGGAGACAAAGGAAATTGGAGAGGAGGAGAGCCTCTGTGGCTGTGTTCACACAACAAGCTTAATCAGACCTAAAGACTCTTAAATGTTGTGGGAAAATGCGTTCACACATGTTTTTTTAATGGGATAGTATGTTGTAGGAACCCAGACCCACCAGCTACTTTATAGTCCAACATATTGTAGGGAATTGGTTAATTCAAGAACCAGGTTAAACCTGATATGTGAACATTCTGTCTCTTTGGCTCCCCTTTTCCACTTACAAACTTCACTCACTGAACTGCTCCATCTTCGAGCTATACCATCCTCAAATGAAAAAGGACCTTTTTTTTGATTCATGCCACATAAAAGAAAGGTAGGGGCCACAGGATTGGCCTCCAACTAAAAAAAAAGCATTCCAAGGTCATTAGACTGCCCAAGCACATTCATGTGGAAGTCAGTTCATGGATTTTCTATTGTATGTTCAGAACCTTCAAAGATAAACGTGTGTGTGTGCGCAAGCGCGCGCTTTACTACTGATTTTATAGGGTTGTAGATGCCATGTATGGTCTATGGTCATACAACTCACTTAAACCGGGACAAATAAACCTAGCAGCTGCATTTGCTAAACCTAGTAAATGTTAAGGTTGGTATCACTTTTTAAAAAAATGGTTTAGCCTATTGGACAAATCCAGCCTCCTTTTGTGTTAATCTGATGTATGTGTACCCACACAGAATGGGTTAATTAAATAACTAGCTTATTTATCTAGCTGGTTTCTATACCTCCTCAATCAAGCCACAGACTGCCACTTCTCCTGGAATTCCAGGGATCTGACCTTCTTTATTGTTGGAAACATATAGTTCTCAATGGTTGCCTGTCCGCAAGTTTCATATAAATTGACCCTGGTATCATTAGGATGGCCACTAAAATTTCATGGTGTTTACTTTCAAACCATGGTGCAAGAATGATGGGGTGCTGCGCATCTTTACAAAATTCTCAAGCTGTTAAATAAAATCACAATGAGCTGGGGTCACACAACACAGTGGGTCTCAAACAAACAAATCACAATTTGGATTAACATTTTATGTGAACAAAGTCAGTATCTAAGCCCCCAGGTTTAACTGTACTACCCAAACACAGCCACTACCACCACACGACTTGCGGAAATAGTCAACCTGTGTGTGGATAGTGCCAGACCAGTTGAAGATGAGCAGGAAACACATGCTGACATTTCCATCACAGAAGTGCCACCCAGGAAATGCCAACAAAAGGGATCCTAGTATTTTTTTAACGTATTAATGTAGTTTTAAAACAATGTACGCCTAGTCCCATTCCACTGCGCACATGCACACAAAACTAGAGCAGAGTGTTGCTGAGGCAAACTTGAGAGTTTTTTTCCTTCAGAGAGTAAGCAAACTTTCTAGCTTTCTAGCTAGCAAGGCCAGGGATCGGATCTGGAATTTTGGGAGGCCTCCTAAAGCAGAGGTGCTTCTGTGCGGTGTCAAGTTCCTGCTCCCCAAGGACACACCCCAAGAGCTGCGGTGAGGATGCCACAGAGATCATGGCACTGCTCTGATGCTGTAGTAATTTGGAGGTAAGGTATCCACGTTCTGACATACAATTAAGGACCTGAGCCCCTCTGAGCATATGCAGAGTGCCGACCACAGCCTGGGCCTGCCGATCCTAGAAAGCGCCCTGCCCTTCAAGGCTCCGCGTGACCGCGCGCGCACACACACACCCCAGATTCTTACCGGCTGCTCGCGCTTCCTCTTAGCATCGCGGGGCTCGGCCTTCTTGAGCTCGGCCTTGAAGCCCTCGGCGGCCGGGCCGTCCTTGGCGAGCACCTCCATGAGGTAAGCGATGTAGCTGGTGGCCAGGCGCAGCGTCTTGATCTTGGAGAGCTTCGTGTCGGCCGGCACGTTGGGGATGCACTCGCGGAGCTCGGCGAAGGCGCTGTTGGGG